CGGGGCGGGGCGGAGCGAGGCGGAGCTTGTAGCGCCTCACCAGTCAATAATGCAACCTCTAATGGTCTCCTGCCCGTCAGGCCACGCCAGCACCTGCCCCTGGATAATGCACCGCAGGCACAACGGGGCGGGGTGGGGCGGGGCGGGAAAGAGCTGCGGCGCCACGACAGATTCATCATCAGAAAGCGATGCACGATGCCAGGCCAGGCCGGGGGTCGCGCCGGGGCGCAGCGCCGCCGGGGCCGGGCCCGCCGATCATGGAACCGCATAAATTCCCCCGGCAGGACACACCACACCCACACAGATCGAGCCGATTGGCGGCCTCGCTCAGCCAACCAGCGAGACGGCACGAAAATGTGCGCAAAGTACCGGGGGGAAAAGTTGAGAGCTACGTGCAGGGTTCAGAAAGACGGAGGGTTACGCGACGAAGTCGGCAAAGGCAAATGTGTAAATGAGCTCTTACGAGCTCCAGAGTGCTGTCACAGAAATCACTTTCTCTAATCCTCCCATTGAGTTCCTCGTAGGCGATGTCTCATTTTTGAAGACCACCAAAGGATTAAATACAAAACAAATTCCGGTATTGTTCGCAATTTGCAAAAAAAAAAAATTGCAAGAATTTAACAGAACGGGGGATGGGCGATCCAATTTCCAGGGCGTTCCCCGCGCCGCCCAGCCCGCCCCACCCCCGACTCCATCCTGACAATGGAGCAGGGGGCTAGACACCCTGTCTGACAGCACAGACAACGTGGAGTAGCGACAGCGACTCGACCCGAACAGAACACCCGGAGTGGTTTTCTTTCCCATCGTGGGAAAGATGTGTGCTCGCTGGGCGCCCCAGCCTCTGTCACATATCCTGCCGCGGTGGACGGGGGGCCTTGAGCCCGCCGAGTGGAAGACGGAGTGCAAAAGGAGGGGGGAGGAAAGGGGATGGGCGTGTCAGCGTGTAACCGAGCCGAACCGTCTGGCTCTGCTGGGAAGAGCAGAGAAAAGACCACTACTTTCCTGTCAGAGTGAGCCCGGGCAGAGGTACAGGGCAACGTTGAACAAGCCTCCTTAAAAAATCCAACATCACACAATGCCGCAACGCTGCGACAAAATCCAAGCGAAGAGGTTGGAAAACATTTGAAATACTTGGGGCTCTACACTACAGGTTGGACGTACCTTTGGGCGCGACTGACTTTTCTAGGAGGATCGCCTTACGTTGAGTCTGCTGGGTCTTGATGCTCGATTCACGATTTCGGAAGGCGGAAACAGTACCAAGTTGACAAAGTCAAAACTTGACAACGAAAATTACAAACGAACGAGTCCGGCCGTCTCCGCGGTTTGAGATTTGGAGGTTAGGAAGGTTAGGTGGCGCCTGCGGAGAGAAACATCCACGCCACGGCCGTCAAGGCGGCTACGTCGCGGCCAACGTGCCGCGTGGAGCGGCTCGGCAGAATATAAAAAATATAAGAAATAAACACAAAGTTTAGATAAAAACGCCCGGCTATCACGAACAAAACACGCCAACCCGCGACTGCGCCAAAACATAAACAGAAAGCTAACGACGACGTTGCGCCGCGCGCGCGCGCTCTCGCGGCCACCTCGGAAAGCGGTGACAAAATAAGCAGGGGCGACGGCGCGGCGGGTGAAGTCGGAGAGAGACAGAGTCGGCATAATAATATCCAGGCACAACGTGCTGCTTTTGTCGGCATTCGGCTGGCAGCCGCGAATATATACGAAAAATACCGAGTAATTCTTCACCAAGGCCCAATCATCCTCCCTCACACTCCACCTCTCTCACTCTGGGGGAGCTGCAGCAGCGGGGCGCGAGCACGGCGCAGCGGGGGCGCAGCAGGCTTGGCGTCGGCCTTGCACGCCCCGCTTTGATGTGGTGATAAGGGGCCCCGCCTGCCCCCCTCCC